GAAACATAAGCCAGTAAATCCAGAAACGTTGAGAATCAAAAATAAGAATCAAAAAGCTGAAACATTTCCCCAAATTTGTAGCTTCGGTGCGAAGAAAATAACTTTCACCTTAGACGTTGATTTGAAACTCTGAATAGTCAAAAGTTAGATATACGTGTTACAAACCTACCCACCGAATTTGAGCTTGATCCAACGGTTAACGAATCGGGGATCGTCAATTTAGTTAGAGTGATTGCAGATAAACGGGAATGAGTTTCTCTCCTATTTTCTCTCTTTTGAATCTTTATTTTTTGTATATCTCCCTTAATCCTAAATTGATCATCTCCACTTAAATAAGCGAGACAAATGGGCTAATCATATTTGGGCATTTTTTCACATAGAAAAGGAGCCCAAACCCAACAAATCTCCCCCTCACAACTATGTCGAGGAAATCGCCAAACCAGCGATATCACAACAAGCTTCAAATTTTCCTCTTGGTAATGCTTTAGTCATCATATCAAAACCATTATTATCTGTATGAACTTTAGCTAACTCCAACACCTTAGCATCCAAAACAACGCATATCCAATGATATCTCACATAAATGTGTTTGGACCTATTATGAAAAGTCAGATTCTTAACAAGATGAATAGCGTTTTGACTATCAACAAATAACACATATTTGTCTTAAACAAAACCAAGCTCCTGCAAAAATTTCTTCAACCATAGTAACTCTGTACATGCTTCAGTAATTACAATGAACTTAGCCTCTGTAGTAGATAGTGCTACACACTTTTGCAATCTGGACTACCAAGCAACAACTCCCCCTACAAATTTAATCATGCAGCCCGAAGTGGACTTTTTGGAATCAATGTCTCTAATCATATCAGAGTCAGAGTACCCCACTAGAGTAGGCTTATCTCCTCCAAAAAAAAAATCCTCATAGAAGTAGTACCGTGAAGATACCTTAAAATCCATTTTACAGCACTCAAATGTTCTCTACCTAGATTTGACAAAAATCTACTGACTGTACCAACAATATGTGATATATCTGGTCTTGTACACACTATTGCATACATCAAACTGCCCACAACAGACGCATAAGGAACACATTTCATATCAAACGCTTCATCTTCACTTGAAGGACTTTGATTAGAACTCAACTTGAAATGAGTATCGAGAGGAGTATTTACCACCTTAGAACTTTCCATTTGAATCTTTGCAGCACACTTTCGATATAATTTTCTTGTGATATCCAAAGTTTTTTATCTTTTCTGTCACGCATGATTCTAATGCAAGAATATGTTTAGCTACTCCCATCTCTTTCATGGCAAAATGACTCTCCCAATTTCTTCTTTAACATGTTAATATTAAAAATACTTTTCCCTATAATAAGCATATCATCAACATATAACAACAGGATAATGAAGTCATCATTAGAAAATTTTCTAACAAAGATGCAATGATATGAAGTAGTCTTCTGGTATCCTTGACCACACATAACAAAATCAAACTTCTTGTACCACTGCCTTGGATCTTGCTTTAACCCATATAAACTATTTCTCAATCTACACACATGATCTTCTTTACCTTTAACTTGAAAACCATCAGGTTGTTTCTTGTAGATCTCTTCCTCCAAATCACCATGAAGAAAAGTTATTTTCACATCTATTTGCTCAACCTCAAAATCAAGAGTAGCATTCAAACTCAACATGGTTCTAATTGATGACATCTTTAGAACATGTGAGAAAATATCATTTAAATCAACACCATTTCTTTGATGGAAACCTTTCACCACTAATCTGGATAATATCTTGGAGACTTAGAGTTTCTCTCATGTTTAACTCTATAAATCCATTTGTTTTCCAAAGCCCTTTTACCTTTAGGCAGCTTCACTAAATCATATGTGTGATTATCATGCAATGATTTCATCTCATCATGCATTGCATCCATCCACTTTTTATTTTTATCATTTTCCATGGCCTCTTGAAAACACTCGGGTTCACCCTCATCAGTCAAGGTCACATACTCATCAGAATTATACCTTGTAGAATGTTGTCTCTGCCTATTAGACCTCCTAGGTTGAACTTGAGATGATTCTGGAGTTTCATCATGATTCTCATCCTGTGACAAATCGCTCCCCCCTTCACCATCATTAGTTGGAATATTTACCTTATCTCCAAGTTGTTGATCATCAACATAATCATATGGCTCACCATTGTGATCATCACCACCAATAGCATCCAGATTATGGCTAGGTAACTAAACTGGATCAACATTAGACAAACTAATATCTTTCTTGGGTGTAACCTTCTCTACCATATCAATATATTCAATAGTTTGGTCTTCCATAAACACAACATCGCGGCTTCGAATAAGCTTCTTCCCTACGAGATCATACAACCTGTAGCCAAACTCGTCTTGCCCATAGCCGATGAAGATACATTGTTTTGACTTTGAATCCAACTTGGATCTTTCATCCTTTGAAATGTGCACAAAAGTCTTACAACCAAAGACTCTCAAACAATCATACTTGACATTCTTTTCAAACCAAATTTTATCTGGAACTTCACTGTTGAAAGCAACAATAAGAGTGAGATTAATAACATGCACTACCGTGTAAAGTGCCTCACCCCAATAATGATTAGGCAACTTAGCTTCTGAGAGCATACATCTTACTCTCTCAATTAGTGTTCAATTCACCCTCTCTGGTAAATCATTTAATTGAGGAGTTTTAGGAGGAGTCTTTTTATGTGTCATACCATACTTCTTCCAATAGGAATCAAATGGTCCACAATATTCTCCACCATTGTGTGAACGAACACATTTCAGCTTCTTGTCTATCTGTCTCTCAACCAAAGCATGAAATTCTTTGAACTTTTCCAATACTTGGTTTTTTGTCTTCAAGGCATAAACCCATAATTTCCTGGAGTAATCATCAATAAAGGTAACAAAGTAAAGTGCGCCTCTAAAGGATTTTACCTTTAATGGACCACAAACATCAAAACGTACCAATTGAAGCAACTTTGACTTCCTTGAGGTATGATGTCTCTTGAAAGATACTCTAGTCTGTTTACCAGCCATGCAATGAAAACACATCTTCAAATCTACAGTCTTTAATCCAGGAAGAACATCATTTTTGGCCAAAAAATTCAACCCCTTTTCACTAATATGATTAAGTCTTCGGTGCCACAAAGATGCTTCCAAGTTAATAGCATTCACACTGTCCCTAGAAACCAAAGTTTTTGTCAAAATACATTTTAGAAATCTTTTCTCCTCTAGCCACAACCAAGTTACCTCTGTTGAGTTTTCACTTTCCAGAACTAAAGTGATTATTATAACCACAATTATCTAGCATATGCACAAAGATTAAATTAAAGCAGACATCTGGAGCATGTTTGATACCTCTAAGAAACAATTGCATTCTCATGTTGGTTTGCAAGCAATACTTCTGTACCATTCTTTCCATTCTTTCGTTTGTTATCTTTTTTCCATTGATAGTAATACTTCTTTACATGTCCTGTTTTGTGACAATAATGACACTTTAGATTCTTGTATCGTGGCTTAGACTTGCTTCTGCTATTCTCTCTACCACCCTTCAGTTTCTTTTATGACTTCTCCCCTATTTTTAGTGACAAGTACCTCGAGTTGAAATGAAGAACCATGTGCCTTCCTTCTCATCTCCTCATTAAGAATACCACCCCTGTCCGTTTCCAAAGAAACAACACCTCTAGGAGCAGAACTTGTGATAGAAATCCGAAATGCCTCCTAAGACTCTAGTAAAGATAGTTATAGAAATAGTCCCAAAAGTTCATCATCAAATTTGATACCCGTTCCTGATATCTGATCAAGAAGGCCTTGAAATTTACTCAAGTGATCTGAAATAGAAGTCCCCTCCTTATACTTTAAACTTATGAAGCAATTCAACAAGAACAATTTATTATTCTCTGATTTAGAGACATACAAGGACACTATCTTATCCCACAAAGTTTTTACGTGTGTCTCTAGCAATATGATTATAAACATTATCTTCTACATATTGTCAAATAAAACTACATACCTGTTGTCAAGTTAAATGCTCTTATTGTTCTAGGTTGGCCAAAGATCCAAATAGCTAAAATTCAATTCACTTCACTTTACTCAAGATATAAAATCAATTCACCCTAAAAACAAAGTATATTCTCTAATCTCCACTTTTTACTACAACCTTAAACTAAATTAAGTGTTGAAGTGATAACATATAGATTCATCTTGTGTCGTCGCATCAAATATATGCATCATCAATTCAAGACATTCAATTCACCAACAATATTCAATTATGATTATATGAAACAACATTTATATTTTTATAAGTTTTTTTTTAATCAGCTTGTTATATTTAAATATATTTAATTATTCACTTTTTTTCTAGTTTTCAAAAAGCCACCACCTTCTCCTCTATACCGACTAAAAAGCTTTATTTTATTATGTTTGTATATGAACTTATATTTTTGTTGTTATTAAGTGTCGTTTTTGACACAAAAAAAAACATTACAGAAACAGACCCGTGACTGAGGTTAGGTCCTACTGTGACTTGTCCCTTTCATAACATCACAGGGAATGCAACCATACATATATCATATTTTGGCAATTCCCAAATGTGTCACGAGCTTAACAACACAGCACACCCTCTCTCTACTATGCACTTTTCAACTTAATTATGAATCCTAGTTAAGTTCTTGCATTATTATAACATAAACCAAGTGTAAAACATGAAAAATCAACTATGACTCGATTAAAATGACATTTTTGGCATCACATTTCATATGCAACTTTTTAGGTACTTGACAAAAAACTTTTGTGTCTGTCAGATTAATGTTCCACAACTATGTAGTTAATCTCGTGAATCCACAACCTCAAATATCCTACATTTGTCCTATATTGAGTATCACATTAACAAAATATCATCACTACATTTTGTTCATTGCTTTCTAAACCTTCATATTTATCTAACTCTATCTCTTTCTCCAAATCAACAGAAAATGGCTCATCATTCACAACACCTACTCCTTCTAATCTTGTTTCTTTCCGTTCATTTTTCTCACCAGTTACAATTTTCTCACTCTCAAACACTTCTCAAACTTCAACAACTTCTTGGCTACCCTTCATCACTAACAGCCTTAACCACCACCAAAGATTTCTGCAACATTGAACCTACTCCTTACTTAACACTAGTCTGCTATGAGCAAAATCTAACACAGTTGCATCTTGTTGGAAACAACAATGACTTCACCTCATTGCCTCAAAATTTCAACTCACACGCTTTCTTTTCAACAATTTCAACACTTTCAACCTTGAAAGTCCTCTCTTTGGTTTCTCTTGGCTTATGGGGTCCACTACCTGAAACCATAGGTGAGTTTTCTTCATTGGAGATACTCAACATTAGCTCAAACTACTTCAGTGGCGAAATACCAGTTCAGCTTTCACATCTCAACAATCTTCAATCACTAGTACTTGATGATAACAATTTCAATGGTGAAATTCCAAACTTGTTGGGCTCTCTTCAAGGTTTGGCTGTTCTTAGTATGAAGAAAAATTTTCTTACAGGTAACTTGCCGAATTCAGTGAATAATCTTGTTACTCTTAGAGTTTTGGATCTGTCAAATAATCAACTATTTGGTGAACTACCTCATCTTCATAATTTGGTTAACCTTCAAGTTCTTCACTTGGAAAACAACACATTAGGACCTCATTTTCCTTCTCTTCCTACAAAGCTAGTTTCACTTGTGCTTAGAAACAACAGTTTTAGGCTTGGTGTACCTTCTAATATAACTTCTTTCTATCAACTTCAAAAACTGGACCTTTCATTGAATGGATTTGTAGGGCCATTTTCACCGTCTTTGTTGTCACTTCCTTCAATAAATTACCTTGATGTTTCTTCAAATAAGTTCACTGGTATGCTTTTCAAGAATTTTTCATGCAACAACGATCTTCTGTTTGTGAATTTATCTTCAAATCTTTTGAAAGGTGAACTACCAAGCTGTTTGAGACAAAAAACAAAGGTTGTTTTGTATGCTAGAAACTGTTTATCAAATGAGAAGAAACAAGATCAACATAGTTACAATTTCTGCAGCAGTGAAGCGCTCGCGGTGAATATTTCGCCACATCAACAACAGAAACATAAAGGAACAACAAGTAAAGCAGTCCTTGTGTCATCAAGTATTGGAGTTGTTGGAGTATTGATTGTTGCAGTTGTTATCTTGGTTGTTAATCAAGTTCATAAAAAAAATGTTTCGAAAACACCTTCAATGTCTACTTTGGACCATGTCATTATTAGTCAAATACAGAATGAAGATAGAGTGAAAACTACTGCAAGGTCTATAGTAGAGCATATCATCAAAAGAGTTCCTGATAAAAATTCTATGAAAACACTAACAAGATCCATAAAGGAACATGTCGCGAACTTACTCGGTAACAGACGCCTTTCAAGGTCACCTTCAAGGTCCATAATAGAACATGTATCATCAGTAAACACTGCAAAATTACTCACAGATGCAAGTAAATCTACATATCCTTTGTCTGGTTTTTACATAACTTCTATTCCACAAACTTCAATTCCGCAAAAATGCACAATCGATTAAGTATTATTACACATCACATATAGTCACTTTATGATATTCTTTGTTAACAGGGTGTATATCTGAAACAATGAAGATGGGAACTGGTCTTCCTGCATATAGGACCTTTTCTTTGGACCAACTTAAGGAAGCTACAAATAATTTTGATGAGTCAAGTCTCATAAGTGAAGGTCCACTTGGTCAGGTAAGCATTTGAAATTATCAAGGTTGATGATATAGTTCTCCCAACAATTATGCATAAAAACTCAAGTTCTTGTACTATGATGTCAGATATATAAAGGGGTTCTCTCTGATGGGATGCATATTACTATTAGAGGAATGAAGATAAGAAAGAAGCACAGCCCTCAAGCCTATATGCACCATGTTGAGTTGATTTCAAAACTTAGGCATTCACACTTGGTTAGTTCACTTGGACATTCTTTTGAATGCAACCAAGATGATTCAAGTGTCAATACTATATTTCTCATTTTCGAGTTTATTCAAGACAAAAGTTTAAGAAGCCGCATCTCCGGTAAGGAAAATTGTCTTACTAGAATCTTTCTTCAAAATATGGTAGTTGGCATCTCAACTATGTTGGCCCCGTAGCTATCAACAATCATCTGCAAACTAACATAAATTTATTGAATATGTTCTCTAATAACATTTTGTTTCAATAGGATCAAATGGAGAAAAGCTTTGTTGGACACAGAGAATAGCAGCCACAATTGGAGTAGTGAAAGGCATTCAATATTTGCATACCGGGATAGTGCCTGGACTATATTCAAATAATATCAAGATAACTGATATTCTTTTGGATAACAATCATAATGTCAAAATAAGCAGTTATAATCTGCCGATCTATGCTGAAAACAAAAGAATGGTAAACGGAGAAAACATCAGTTTGTTTATGCTCTCCTCTTCCGATTCATATATCTTCATTTGCTTTACGATATTACTCAGTTTAATCGTTTTCTTCAAAACAATCAGGTCAGCAATGGAACTTCTCATGGAGTAAAAGGAAACCTCCAAGCAAGGTAAAAACATTAGTTCCTTGATATTACAATGGTGCTTAATCTTAGCTGCTAATAGAGTATGAAAATGTAGCAAGTTGAACACAAAAGGACTTGATTTACTACCTGATTGAAAAGAATATGGTCTCAATATATTTTAAAAAAATTGTATTTTATAATCTGAAATATTACATACAAGAAAAACTACAACAGACGCCATGTTGTCAGAGCCTTCGGCATGATTAGTCAAACTCTGATGAATCACTGTGTTCTTGTGTGCGTTTATTTATCTATTTACTTTAGAGTCATATTTGTTGTTCTAAGATGTGATTGTTATAATTATTTGCAGGATAAATGATGGAGACAAGAATGATGTGTATGATATTGGGGTAATCTTGCTAGAAATCATTCTTGGACGACCAATAATGTTCCACAATGAAGTGGGAACGTTAAAAGATCTCGTGAGTATTATTTTTGTAAGCGTTTAATTAAGCTGTTTATCCAAATGTCTGCTAATCCTAACAATGTTTTATGTGTTGCTCATACGCAGTTACATGTAAGCATAAAAACTGATGATATAGCAAGAAGGAGTATTGTAGACCCATTTGTTCACAAGGAATGTTCAGATGAATCATTAATGAAAATGATGGAGATATGTGTAAGGTGTCTCTCTAGTGAACCAAACCAAAGACCTTCTGTGGAAGATGTTCTTTGGAATTTGCAGTTTGCAGCACAAGTTCAGAATTCATGGAGAAGAGAAACAAGCGATTATAGAGACTCGCCTATATCGTCCTCAAGAGAGACAAAGTTACTATGAAATTATCAGGAACTATTATGGTGTATGCTACTATGTATGTACATTAAGTTTCATTTTATACAGATTGTATAAGCATGACTATTACTATTTTAAAATTATTTTTGAAGAGTGTCCTACCTTGGATAAAATTTGTGGTCTCTTAAGTTTGTTTATAAGCGGAAGATAACTCTCGCCTTACAATTCGATTTTGTATGAAATCATATTTATGAAGTGGCTTACAAATTTAAAACTCAAGAATCAAAAAGATACCCTAGAGGCCTAACATTTTGGGAAAAAGGAAGATTAAAATGTACCCCTAAAAATTCTGAAAAACAATACAGTCGCACAAACTCGTAAGTTAGGATTGAATCGATGATGATGAAACAAATGAAGATTAAATGAAGCTAAGAAACAACTCAAAGTAGTTAATATATTGATTGCATTTGCTTGGAAGCCTAAATATCATACTTCAAAGTAAAAGATTCATCAACTTCCATGACTCTTTTTTATTGTAATGAAATTGAAGCGAAAACTAACAATTCTTATTTCATCATGGAGCAATTTCTGTCACAAAACTGAAATACTAACAGATTAGAGAACATACGACCTTAGAGTTCCTCTGCGGTTCTACTATGGCTATCTTCTTAAACTTCAATTACATGGAATTAGCCAGAGACAACAATGAACCTGGAGAAATTCTCAAGCCTCTTCCAAAAATAAATGCTACTGAGACTGGGTTAGGATGTTAAATGCTTTCTTGAAAAGTTCCGGAGCGAGAGAAAGCAGCAGGGTTAGCTCTTAGAATTTGATTATCGTCTAAATCTCGAGAACTTGCATTTGACATAGGTTCAAATGATTTGAAAACACCTCCTTTCATAATAGGTTTGTTCTGTTGAGATTTTGTTCTCAAAGTTGACCATATAGAACTCATTGCAGCCTCTTCTGGATTATTGATTCGGATAGTTTTAGGCACCCAAATATTGTGTTTCATTGTATCTTCTGCTTGTGTACTTCCATCTCTACAATGTTTTCCTAAAGTTGGTGACCTATTACCGGAACACATGCCGCTGCTAACCGAAGATGTAGGTGATTGAATGCCGTTAAATTCTTCCATTTGGCCAGCCCAATTCGGCATGCAACCCCAATACGGTGAAGGTGTCATTGGTATTTCTACTGCCATCATGGTTGCAGGACTGGAGGTTATGTTATCAGGCTTAAATGGCATAGGATTCCAGCATGGATAAGTCCATGGAGGAGCAGAACAATAATGAAGTGAATGCAAAGGAATTAAGCCATTGTATTGAGGTGTCAAACCAACATGTTCTATTCCGTTTACAGAATACTCCTTCTCCCCGGAATTAGCTGCTGTGGCAGAAAAGCTAGAAGGGTCTTCAATATTATCTTTAACAGTAGAAGAGTCCATTTCGGTTTTCCTATGGCCATTGAGATTTAACACAGTTTCTAGTGATTCACTAAGAGGAACTTCTTCCCTGTGACTAGCAGGGATGGAATCTGTCTGTATCACAGGTACTGCATCAAGGGTAACAGGAACCTGACAATTCTGCAATGGCAAATGCTTATTTCTACGCTTACCGGCTCCAATAGGAACGTTCCGAATTGCTCCCCCAGCTGTCCAATACCTATGACAATTTTTGCAGAAATGCCTTGGTTGGTTAACATTGTAATTGTTGAAATAGCAAAATTTTGTCTCCAAACTATTGCAGCGAGGACATGGAAGAACCTTGTCTGGCTTCTTGAAAGCTTTCCCTTGATTTTCAATATCTCTTTTGGTAGTCTTCTGTTCATAAGTACTATGAACTGATTCGGTCCCCGATTTCGAAGCGACGGTTTCGTACATGTTTGGAATAGCATTAGCATCTTCTTGTGGATAAGCTTGATTGCTAGAAACTTCATTCAAAGAAACACTAACATCAGCATTAGTTGATTCTTCAAGTCCATTCTGCAATTGAGTATCAAACTGTGTCAGCTAGCATACATTGATTCGATTCAACAATTTGCATTGTAAACAAGAGTTACAACTCATACATATAATACGAAGGATGTCACAAAATATACACTTTTTCTGGTGTTGTCAACCATGAATCGCGGAAAATGGAAACTTATTCCAATTCTATTACACAATAGGGTTACAACACTGCTATTTGACAATATTGATTTGTTCAAATTCTGCTACGCTATTGCACCGCTCTTTAACGATATTGATTTCTACACATAAAAAATATACATGAGATACCTACAGACTAAACCATTACCAATATCTATTTCTTTTGCTCCAGCAAAAGTAATCAAACAGTATATTAAAGAATTGAACACTATGAATCAATTTGGGATGCTATTGACCTTAAATTTCTAACATAACAAAAAATAATAATAAAAAAGTCCTATTTCACAAAATCAATTCCACTGCTACAGTTGATAGAAAACACCCAACTAATTTGTTTTAATTAAAATATCCATGCTAATTAATGATTACTGGTCAAACAATTAGGTCCAACTTAAAATTAAAATCAGATTCAAACACACTTAATTCAAATTGAACCCTGCAACATATTTTCTATAGTAACTCACTCAAGTCGAGATACCTAGAGCATAAATATGGATATTATACAAGTATAGATAAATTTGAAGTGTACATGAAGAATAAAAATGAAGTAATGGGTTTTGATATTTGAGAATAAAAATGCAAACTTTAGCATTAAGTATGGGAAAAAGTGCAAGAAGATGTAAAGGAAAAAGAAAGGCATGACCATGATGTTGATGCGTTGTTGTGGAAGAGAGTGAATCTGAGAGGAGGAGAAAGAGTGTGAATCTGTGGTAATGGGAATATGACTTCCAAAAAGCTTGATTGAAGGATCTTGGAACATGCCTCAAATGGAAGTTTGTTGTTAGTTGGATAGAAAAAGAGTGAGAGAAAGAGAAAGAGAGAGGAAAAAGGGCACAAAAAGGTGTCTAAAAGAAGAAAAGATGGCACAACAAAGAAAGAAACCCAAAATCATGGGAATGTGCTTATTTGCCATAACAAGAATCAAATTTTTTTTTTGTTGATATATTGCTACTATTATTATTATTTTCTTTTGCTACATCATTTTCAATTATTATTTTTGTATATGATATATAGTAAAGTCAAATGAAATTAATATCATAACAGTAGAGTATAATAATCAAATTGTTAAAATAAATAAACTACAATAAAAAAATTAATTGACGATTAGCAATCTAAAACAAATCATTATCAAGAAAGTGATTAAGAAACGAAGGAAATTTTTGTAAGATGTATGAAGAGTTCATATACAATTTTAATTTTCTAACTAAGGCATCCGCGCACATACTTGTTTTTCTTTATGAGACCATCTATGTCTCATTAGTGAAATTTTAATAAAACTTTTAATAAAATTATAGAAAATTTAAAATTTTTAAATAACAAGATTTAATTAATTAAAAACATACTACTTTACTTCACTTACATATGCTTCAAATATATTTCACATAGAGTTTGACATTGTTAAGACTAGTAGTCTTGCCACGTAAATAAAACATAAAATAAAAGTACAGAAAAAAAACAAAAAAAAAAACATACTAAAAAGGACCTCCTAAATCTAAAAAGACCGACACTTATATTGATTGAAGAAATAGGGGTATGATCGGTGTTTGACAAAACGCTGTCAACTTCCAATCTAGATGTTATAATAACTCATCATATCCTTTCTTTCTAAATTGTCGGGAAGTAAGCAAGATTCAAGCTCGTTATCTAATTGTCGTAGAATAATCTAAAATACAAAACAAAAAGGACAAAAGGCTAAGATTTATTATGTACAAGTTTAAAAGTGAAAATAAATATATAAAATAGTAATATATATGACAACCACAATTATTCAAACAAGCTAATTTTTAATCCATAATTACATATACTCTATCTTTATTTATTTTAATACATTCTTAAAACTCAGGCCACTATACGCTGTCAACAATATAATATTTATTTTATCACGTGTGGTGATGCAAATATTATAATAAACATAATATCATTATAAAATTATTTTATAGTATCATGTGTTTGATATATACTTTGATAATAATATGTCTTAATTTTAACTAAAATAAAAAATAATAAAATAATATTTCCATGTCGATTTCTTAATTTAATTATTAGTATCGTATTAATTTAATAAAATAATCTTAATTTTCATGGAAAACGTTTGAAATGGATTTAATAGAGTTGGAAGTGTTGTATGCAATGAATCAAAAGGAAAAAGTACAATGATGATGTGATAGCAATATGTCTAATATGTCGATTAATCAACTGCAACTCAAATAGAAAAATTCTAATTCTATTATATCAATCAAATTTATGATCTAATATTCCAACTTCACAACTCAATCACCAAACAAATAACTTTAAAAACTTGATCTAATTAGACCTAATTTTTACAAATTGAATACTATGAACTAAAATAAAAGCATAGTAAGTGCAAATTAATCACAACAAAAAATTATGAAACATGAAAATCTAAGCAAAAATTGTGTGTGTGAGAGAGAGATGTGATGGTAAACTATCATAAATTATCTTCCACTAATTTTTTGTTTTTGATACAAAGTTTGATTACAATAATAAATTGCAAAAAGTATACTCAGATAAAAGTTGAATCCTAGCTAATCTTATTTTCTTTCTTGATTATCCTTTGTTTATAACCAAACTAAAAAATCTTCAAATCATGATCACCAACACCTTCAAATTTTTAGAATCTTCAATCTCACTTTTGCAGCAATATGTTGAAAATTATGCTTGTGAGACTTGAACTTGATCTTCAAATGGTTGATGGAAGCAAGAAACTCCAACTTCTTGGAGAAGACAATTTATTTTCTTCTATAGAACTTCACTGCAAGAATTTTACATTAGATCCACAATCTAGATGCAATTTACTCAACACACATTAGAAGACTAATTTAATTCCTCACAAAACAATATCACACTCACTAACTGGATCAATCTTCATGCACGAGATAAAACTTTTTCTTTTTGAGATAGATGATGAATTTTATAGAAATCACTCAATTGATTTTAATATGTTAAGTGAAACAAATGGAAATAAAACTTTTATACGTGCTTGAGAAATAACACAAAATTAGTTTAAAAAATTCACAAGTGATTCAAGTCAACAATGTCCGATCATTCAAATCAAGTGGTAAAAATAACTCAATTTTTCATGTTATGATTCGAGTCATGAATCAAGTCATGTGACTCAATTCATAAAAACGATGGTTAGAATCTCGTTCCCATAACTTAAAATGAAAAAGAAAATGAATCAATTCATAGGCATGTATGAATCGAATCACATTACCCGAAAAGAAATATGAGTTGAAAAAACATCATTTGAATCGATTCAAAGGAAGCATAACTCAAGTTATATTTTCTAAAATCAATATTTTTTGTAAAGGCTTTATGACTCGATACACATGTAGCTTGAGTCTATTCATATGCGCTAAAATACTTGAGTCGATTCACCAACATCACAACTCGATTCAATTAAGGTTGACTTTAGTCATAAAGACATTTTATGCATGAAAAATTAATTTTAACCAAGTATGAGTGAGGAGTGTTATGAGGAACTCGCAAATACAATAAATTCTAAATATGACAAGACATCAAAACACATTTAACCTATAATTCTCTTATGAGAAATTTAAATCTCCTCATTTTTAATGCTTGGCAAAAATGTGAGTATTTGAGTTAACTCACATAGCTAGACCCCCTACATTGAATTATATGCATGAGTAAAGTTAAATATCGTAAAACATTCTCCCCCTTTGACAAAATAAAAAATAATTAGGAATAAAAAAATAGATACAACTGTAACACCCTTCTAACCCCACATGAAAATACATAAATAATCAGAGTAAATTAACATGCTTTCACAAAAGGGCGTCACACATAATTTCAAAAAAATCAAAACCACCTGTCATGCTTTAAACACTCAAATAAAACAATCATGCTTTTCAAAGTTCACTTTGCATGTAGCAGCGGATTCAATTTATATTCATAATTCTTTTCACATAGCATTCATGTTCATCTCATAATTCAACAATACTTGGGCACTAAGGCCAACATCACAATATTTCGATACATTTAAAACACAACTTAAAATACATAAAATATCTCTAAAGCAAAAACCCAAACGATCCCAGTGTTACATAACCAGAGCATGATTCGACCCAACATAATTAAAATACTAAACGACTGCACCAGCAGAGACCTCGCAACTACTAGCAGTACAACTCCAAGATACCTGCATGATGTCATAAAGGACATCATTCCAGCAGAAGGGTGAGAAATATTACCATAATAATCAAAGCACATAATCATATATAAATGCGCAAGTACATAATACATACATTTCACATTTTCTCACCACAATGCATATTAACACAATAACCATGCACATAATATATATCCATAGCATCAAATACACATATTATACTCCTCACCACAATACCTCACATACCCACTAACATACATCGCAAAGCATATATGTATAGAACCAAGCATTTCATCATGCATACATTCGCAATTACAATTAATCCTCACAAACATACACGTTATGTTTCATTCATCACGAATCATATAACATACGCCATCATGTTTAATCATCAATTCGTTATTCAATATCTTTCTCAATTACTCAATCGCAACCCACAATTCAACAATTCATACTCACATACATATTTCATATAACACTCATAACCATGCCATGTGACTCACTTAAAACTCACCCAATATCACCAATCCCCTTTTTAGGATTATGGGTACGTCACTTATACCCTACCAGGAATAACACCTCAATTATTCTACCCCGGTAATTACTCCACTAGGAACGACACATTGCCATTCTACCCCAGTGAGTACAAGTCTTTCAGATAAACATTATTATCTATATTACTCTCATATTTACCAATCATTACCTATATACATGTACTATTATATTCTCAGGCATTATTCATAATTCATCACATACATTACACTGCATGTATATATATATATATATATACACAACTAAGTATACTCATCAATCATGCTTCTACGATTCACATCATTTTCACACAAACATTTATAATTATATTTATTCATACATCTCAATCATTCCATACATCACAATGTATCCATATAAGTATCTATATATAAATAGAACATCAAGCATATACAATATGCATTCACCAATGTTTACATCAATCCATGTAAACCCACATATATATACATATCTTCAAGCATACTCACTCATGCCATTATCGCAATTCGCGTTAGTTCACATAAACATACACAATATGTTTATATCATCACCATTTCACATAAACATTCACATACATGTTTATTTCACCAATGCATCATATAAAGATGAATTATGAAACTCATAGAGACCGACTCACGACTCTATGCAGATGCAAATGCGGTACCGACTCAATTCAACAGGTTCAATTGAAGAACCAAAATGGAACCATCGCTCGTTACCGAAGTAACTCCCCGTCGGGCCTACGATGTTCACCCATTGCTCACACCCCACATGGGCATACAATGTTTATGGATTGCTCACACCCCACTTGGGCACACAACCCGATTGCTCACACCCCACAAGGGCACACAATCGTTATGCAGATTCTACGCGGAATCAAATATAGACCATCGCTCACACCCCACATGGGGACACGATGTCTCTGCAGATCCTACATGGGATCAAATATAACCATCGCTCACACCCCACATGGGCACACGAGGTTCTGCAGATCCTACACGGGATCAAATAACACAAATGCATATCATGATGCTTCACATGCAAACATGACTCAATCAACTATAAACCATCGCTCACACCCC